CCCCCCCGTGCAGGGTGTGATAAATCAGCCATCTCTTGCTCTCAGCAGGACCTCTTTCCCACCCACACGTTCCAGTGACAATTTTGTGCTGCTTTCTGCCCAGGAGGCTACAAGCCCACCACCCCTCTTGCCCAACACATACACACTGGACAACCAAAAGGACAAGGGTCACCAAGCTTGTAATTACTACTGCTTTCACATTCGCGTCTCTGTCCTCTCCTTTCCAGGGTCTAAGCCTTCCCTTCCTGTTTGGCTTAAGATTTCTTATTCCCCCTCCCCCGCCATTCTGCTCTGCATGTAGCATCAGCACACACACACCCCACTCCAAAGGGTGAGTTTCTTGCCTGTGTAGCCCTGTTTGGTACAGCCTTGTGCATCTTTCCACCTCATCAACTTTTCATCTCTTTGTAAACCGAATCGGGAAGTCTCTCCCTCCTCCCTGCCTCTCTCTCCTTCTCCTTTGTTATTAGCTTCATGAGTGGGGACGTTAATGTATTCACTAGACAATGTCTTCACACCACTGTTTCCTGTAATTACAGTCACTTCCCTCCCACTGTCCTGGCTTATTTGATTGTAAAGTGCTTGGAGGAGGGACAGTGTGGACAAAAGACACAACACAGGCTGAGGTCGAGTAGTGTAATGTTAACATCCAAGAAAGTAAAACAAATAGTCACCTCTGCAGCAGCTCATTAACAACTGGTAACATATAGAGGTCAATGTTCCAGAGCTTTAAAAAAAAGTACTGATACAATTGAGGACCCTCCACTATAGACAGGATGGGGCACTGTATCCATATTGCCAATGACAGTCACCCCAAGAAATGCAAGCAGCCACATCCACCCTCCTTCAGGGGGTAGATCCACTATACTTGTCATGTAGATCGGCTACATTGTCACTGGAGACTCGGATCCAGCCATCCTCCCGCACGTGGTAGAGGTTGACCGCACCTCCTGAGTAGGCATCTCTGTAGGTGGCTTGGTAGATGGCTCTACGGGCCAGATCATAGGCCTGTTCCACTTCCAGGTCATAAGAGTAGCCCCGATCCATGACCCCATAAGCATATACAGAGCCAGAGCCTACAGAGAAGGTGGCTCCCGAGATCCGGTTCCCCTCACTGTCCACATAGTAGAGACCTGGAATGGGAGATGAGGTTAGCAGGAAAAAAATGACCAGCCCTTTTGACATCTAATTCATATTCACGGCAGTAGTTCTCTAACCCTCTTGAAACCCAAGGAAAACCAACATAAATACAAGAAAACAGGACTTCTATAAAATTACTTAAAATAAAAAAAAGCCAAAGGAATCAGATTTAATATTAAGACTCCAGAATTTTACAACATACCGCTCCATCTCACCTAACATATTAACTAACCTGCCTGTCCTCTCGGCACATCCAAAAAGCAAGCATAAACAACTTAGGTTTCAAGCACAGAATTTCATGAACTGTGAGAGAGAATGTTTATTTGAATTGAAGTCTCACTCTGTCACCCAGGCTGGAGTGCAGTGGCACTCTTGGCTAACTGCAGTCTCAACTTGCTGGGCTCAGGCGATCCTTCTGCCTCATTCTTACAAGTAGCTGGAGCAGGCACATGCCACCACACCTGGCTAATTTTTTAATTTATTGTAGACAGGAGGGCTCTCAAAGTTGCCCAGGCTGGTCTTGACTTGACCCCCTGGGCTCAGGCAATACTCTGGCCTCTGCCTCCCAAAATGCAGGGATTACAAAGAGAATGTTTAGAACATAATCCCATCACTCAAGACATATATCATGTAGGAGAATAATAAAGCCCAGCGTTCTTAATCCTATTGTAAAGACCTGCACTGTTCAATATGGTCGCCGTTAGCCCCATATGACTTGTTGAGCATTTGAAGTAAAGCCAGTACATGTCAAAATGGTAATATTTTGGATCTACTGGGTTGGATAAAATATATATTAAATTTCAATATATTAAAATTAATTTTTTTCTTTTTAACTTAAAAAAAGGGGCTACTATAAAGTTATAAATTACATGTATGGCTCATATTTCTGTTGCTATAGACCAGGGGTTGGCCAAGCCAACTGCCTATTTTTGTAACCAAAGTTCTATTGGAGCACAGCCATGCCCAATACATGTTCATGTACTGTCTATGGCTGTTCTGTGCCACACCGGCAGAGTTAAGTAGTTGAGACCAAGACCATATGGCCTGCAAGACTAAAATATTTACTACTTGGCCCTTATGAAAAGGTTGATTTCTGGTATAGAAAAAATGTAGACAGAGTTTAGTACAAATTGTATCAATCCCAGCTGCCTGCTGGATACCTCCTTCTGGATGTCTTTGTCAAGTTCTGATTCAAACTTCCTGTCCAGATCCTTCAGTAGTTCTCCATTACCTACCATATTCATCTCTCTTGTGCTCCACCAACACGCACTTACTGCTGCCTTCTCAAATTCTGCCAATGGCATCACTAGTCTTCTTCCTATTTTAGTGTGTCCCAACTCTCACTGTGCATCAATCATCTAATGAAGATTTTAAAAAATAAGCCTAGGTCTTACCCCAGGTATTCTTTTCCAATTGGTGTGGGGTAGGAACAAGCATGGAGCTTATTTTTTAAGTTCTTCAGGTGATTCCAATGCAAGCCAGCTTGAGAAACAATGTCCACCCCAATCCCTTCTCCAGCCCCTCCTCAGTCCCAGTGTCACTACCTTTTTTTTTTTGAGTCTCACTCTGTTGCCCATGCTGGAGTTCAGTGTCACTCTCGGGGCCACTGCAGCCTCGACCTGCTGGGCTCGAGTGATCCTTCCTAGGGTGATCCTAGCTAGAACTACAGATGTGTACCACCAAGCCCGGCTAATTTTTATTGTAGAGAGGAGGTCTTGCCAAGTTGTCCGGGCTGGTCTCAAACCCCTGGGTTCAGGCAATCTTCTCGCCTCCGCCTCTCAAAGTACATGGGAGGATTACAGGCATGAGCCACCATGCTACTACCTCGCATGGCTGGCTTACCATCTGGTTCCAATGTACCTTTCTGGCTTTATTGCTCACTATGCCTCCCACACCCCTTAGTTCCAATTAGACTGGCCTTCCAGTTACTCCTCAAAAACCTCATGCTTCTTTCCTCTCTTACTTGTTCATTATGTTCCCTTTCCCTCATTTTCACATCCAGGAGAACTGCCACCAACCCATGGAGTTTCCCCAATTCCTCCCATGAGAAGTAATTGCTTCCTCCTCAGAACTCCTTCAGCATTTGACTGGTTATTTTTGAAATAATATTTATCTAATTCAGCCTTGGATTAAGTACAGTTTTCGATATATGAGGGGGAATTCATTCCAAAACCCTGTGTATACCAATATCTGTGCACCTCAAGTCCTGAAGTTGGCCCCTGTAGAACTTGCTTATACAAAAAGCTGGCCCTCCATATATGCAGGTTTCACATTCCGGGAATACTGTATTACTTTTTTTTGAGTCAGAGTCTCACTCTGACACCCAGGCTGGAGTGCAGTGGCATGATCATGGCTCACTGCAGCCTCAACCTACTGGGCTCAGGCAATTCTTCTGCCTCAGCTTTCCAAGTAGCTGGGACTACATGCACTTGCCACAAGGCCCAGTTAATTTTTTAAAATTTTCAACCTATGTGGGCCACTTGGCTAGACCTCGTCTCCACAATAAATCAGAAATTAGCCAGGCATGGTAGCGTGAGCCTGTAGTTTCAGTTACTTGGAAGGCGGAGGTGGAAGGATCTCCAGAGCCCAGCAGGTTGAGGCTGCGGTAGCCGGGAGCATGCCACTGCACTCCAGTCTGGGAGACAGAGTGAGACTCCAACTCAAAAAAATAAAAATAAAACAAAAAAAAAACCAATAAAATTTTGTCTAGAGACGAGATCTTGCTATATTGCCCAGGCTAGTCTCAAACTCCTGGGCTCAAGCAGTCCTTCCATCTCAGCTTCCCAAAATGCTAGGATTAAAAACATGAGCCACCATGCCCAGCAATATTTTGACTGAAATTTGGTTGAAAAAAAAAAATCTGCATATAAGTGGTCGTAAGCAGTTCAAACCTGTGTTGTTCAAGGGTCAGTTGTAATCTGTGACTCTCAGTCTGCTTCTTGAGACAAGAGACCGACTCACACTGAATTGCACAGGTTGTCAGGAAATCTTCATGAAGAACATACAATTCAGGTATGCTCTAGTTTCCTGGATTTTCCTTGTTAGTCCCTGTACTCTCTTATATTGTTTCCGCCACCTGAAATGAACCCAAAGCTAAGGGTTCAAAGCAACATTTCCAAAATACTTACCTGGACCATGTAAAGATGTATGGAAATGTTCTTTTACACCTTTCAAAAAGAAAAGTGTCTCGATTTCCAAAGTAACTGAGTTCCTCTCTCACATCCACTTTTTAATTTCCTCATTTACCCTCCACTGGGTAGTAAACAGATTCTCTCTACACTCCTTTCTGTCATCATTCCAAAGCAAGTGAAAAATGGTAGGTATCCTACAACTGTTCTCCAAGATAACTATGTATTTAGCGAGCAGGCACATGAATGAAGTAAAAACAATAGAAAAAGCCGGGCTCGGTGCCTCAGCCTGTAATCCCGCGCCTTTGGGAGGCTGAGGTGAGTGGATTGCCTGAGCCCGCGGGTTCGAGACCCGCCTGGGCAGCGAGACCTCATCGCTACAATAAATAAAAAAAATCAGCCGGGCGTGGTAGCACATGCCTGTAATTCCAGCTACTTGGAAGGCTGAGGAGGAAGGATCGCTGGAGCCCAGCAGATCAAGGCTGTGGTGGCTGGGAGTGGCCACTGCACTCCAGTCTGGGCGACAGAGTGAGACTCCAACTCAAAAAAAAAAAACAAACAAAACAAAACAATAGAAAGAAAGAATAATTATTTTAAGCATACGTAAGGGAAAATTACATAGAAAGTAACTAGATGTGCTCCAGCTTCACTAAAGGGACAATTCAAAATTGGCTAAAGAAGAAATGACATCAAATAAGGTGGAAATTCCTGGCATGTACTTAAATACTAGGAAGGAAAATAGGCTAAAGAACTTTTTTTTTAGAGATGACAGAGCAGGACTTAGGGTGACTGTTAAGAGTGATTATGTGCAGCAAGGAAAGGAGATGAGCCCAAAGGCTCCTTCTAGGCCAAAGGCTCCCTAAAGGAGAAAGGGAAAACAAATGACTAATTTTTTCTTTTTTTTTTTTTGAGCCAGAGTCTCACTTAGTTGCCCAGTCTGCAGTGCAGTGGCACGATCACATCCATCTCAGCCTCAGACTGCTGGGCTCAGGCAATCTTTCCACTTCAGCCTTCCAAGTAGCTGGGTCTACAGACGTGAGCCACCACACCCAGCTAATTTTTTGATTTACTATAGAGACGAGGTCTTGTCAAGTTGCCCAGGCTGGGTCTTGAATCCCTGGGCTCAGGCAATCCTCTTGCCTCTGCCTCCCAAAGTGCTGGGATTACAAACAGGAGCCATCATGTCTGGCCTAGAAATAACTAACTTCTGAGTGACTACTATACATTAGAGCTTCACTGTCCAATACATTAGAAGCTAACCACACAAGGCTATTGAGCCCCTGAAACAGTACTACTGCCACATGTTGGAATCAATGAATTCCTTCTTTCATTCTTTCTTTTTTTTGAGTTGGAGTCTCACTCCCTCGCCCAGACTGGGCTCAGGCGATCTTTCTGCCTCAGCCTTCCAAGTAGCCGGAACTACAGGCGCGCGCTACCATGCCCAGATAATTTTTTTTTTTTTGCGTTGGAGTCTCACTCTATAGCTCAGACTGGAGTGCAGTGGCCGCTCCCGGCCACAGCAGCCTCGACCTGCTGGGCTCCGGCGATCCTTCTGCCTCAGCCTTCTGAGTAGCCGGAATTACAGGCGCGCGCTACCGCATCCGGCTAATTTTTTTTTAAATTTTATTGTAGAGATGAGGTCTCGCTGCCCAGGCGGGTCTCGAACCCGCGGGCTCAGGCAATCCACTCACCTCAACCTCCCAAAGGCGCGGGATTACAGGCCGAGCCACTGAGCCCAGCTGATAATTTTTTTTTTATTGTAGAGATGAGGTCTCACCAGGTGCCCGCGCTGGTCTTAATCCGCGGGCTCAGGCAATCCACTCGCCTTGGTCTCTCAAGCCTGGCCAAATGAATTCCTTTTATTTTGTAGAGATGGGGTGGGGTCTTACTTTGTAGCCTGGGCTGGTTTTGAACCCCTGGCTTCAAGTGATCCTCCCGCCCTGGTCTCCCAAAGAGCATGGGCCACCATGCCCAGCCCTCAAGGGCTCGGTGGCTCAGACTACAATTCCAGCACTTTGGGAAGCCGAGGTGAGTGGATTGCCTAAGCCCGCAGGTTCGAGACCCACCTGGGCAACTTGCCAAGACCTCATCCCCACAATAAATCAAAAATTAGCTGAGCGCACGCCTGTAGTTCCAGCTTCTTGGAAGGCTGAGGTAGAAGGATCGCCAGAGTCCAGCAGGTTAAGCCTGCAGTGACGGGGAGTGTGCCACTGCACTCCAGCCTGGGCGACAGAGTAAGACTCCCAACTCAAAAAAAGAAAGCGCGGTCAAGTTGCTGGTAGACAATTCACGAGAAGTCTTCAAGTGCAAAGGGTTAAATGACATGTGTGGCCCCCATTATAATTCTATTCAATAGCACTGGCTAGAGTTTTTGTGTCTATCACCCAACTCAGTCTGTGTGTATGTGTGTGTGTGTGTGTGTGGGTGTGTGTGTGGGTGTGTGTGATAGAGTCTCACTGTTGAGCAGGTTGGAGGGCAGTAGGACGATCATAGCTCACTGCAGCCTCAAATTCCTGGGCTCAAGCTAATTTAATTCTCAAATGCAATTCTTTCTAGGTCTTATCATTTTATGGGTGAGAAGACAGAAGAAAAAATATTATGTGCCAGACACCTGCTTTACATTTATTATCTCACTTAACCTATGTAACAGATGAAGAAACAGAGGCTGAGAAAATATATAACCAAGCCGGGCTCGGTGGCTCAGCCTGTAATCCCGCACCTTTGGGAGGCTGAGGTGAGTGGATTGCCTGAGCCCGCGGGTTCGAGACCCGCCAGGGGAACTTGGCAAGACCTCATCTCTACAATAAACCAAAAATTAGCTGGGTGCGCCTGTAGTTCCAGCTACTTGGAAGGCTGAGGCGGAAGGATTGCCGGAGCCCAGCAGGTCGAGGCTGTGGTGGCCAGGAGCGGCCACTGCACTCCAGTGTGAGCGACAGAGTGAGACTCCAACTCAAAAAAAGAAAAATACAACCAGCTGGGTTCGGTGGCTCAGCCTATAATCCCAGCACTTTGGGAGACCGAGGTGAGTGAAGATTGCCTGAGTCCATGGGTTGAAGACCAACCCAGGCAACTTGGTGAGATCTCGCCTTTACAATAAAAAAAAATTAGCCAGGCGTGGTAGCACGTGCCTGTAGTTTCAGCTACTTGGAAGGCTGAGGCAGAAGGATAGCCAGAGACCAGCAGATTGAAGCTGGGATGGCCGTGAGTGTGCCACTGCACTCCAGCCTGGGTGACAAAGTGAAACTCCAACTCAAAAGAAGAAGAAGAAAAAGAAAACAAGCCGGGCTCGGTGGCTCAGCCTGTAATCCCAGCACTTTTGGGAGGCTGAGGCGAGTGGATTGCCTGAGCCCACGGGTTCAAGACCCGCCTGGGCAACTTGGTGAGACCTCATCTCTACAATAAAATAAAAAATTAGCTGGGCGTGGTAGCGCACACCTGTAGTTCCAGCTACTTGGAAGGCTGAAGCGGAGGGATCGCCAGTGCCCAGCAGGTCGAGGCTGCGGTGGCCGGGAGCGGCCACTGCACTCCAGTGTGGGTGACAGAGTGAGACTCCAACTCAAAAAACAAAAAAAAAACAACAAAAAAAGAAAACATACAACCTACCTAAGGTCACTCAGGTAGCCAGTGACACAGCTGTTCTAACTCCTTATTCCTTCCTACACTACAGTGCCTTCCTTGAAAAAAGAGAAGGAAGGATTAAGAACCTAATCAACCCCTCCTCTCTGAACTGTCTGCCCAAGGGTCACATGGTTGCAACTTCACTCACCAGGACCTCTCTTATCCCAGCCACAGATCATGGTGCCCATGGACAGCCCCATGCCTTTGTACTGGTACACCATGTTGGCAAGCAGTTTGGAAGCAGCTGCTACAGAGATGCGTTCCTTATTCCGAAGCTCATAGATTCGACATTGCCGAGCCAACAGCCGCTCCCAGAAGCTGCAATCCGCTGCGCCCCCAGCCATGGTGCCCAGCAGGTAGGGGTTGATCTCTATCACCTTCTTCACCGTCTGGGAAGCAATGTAAGCACCCGCTGTAGCCCTGGAGTCGGCTGCAACTATGACTCCATGACGGAACTGTAAAGGTCAGAGGAAAACACAAAACAGGAGACATCAGACCACAAAAACACTCTCTGATATTTCTTTTTGCACCAATGCAAACCCAGAACACCTTTTTCTCTGTCCTTTCATACTTCACGGTATAATTCCCCACATATTAAAGTCACTTGAGTTTCACATCAAATCCTCGATGTGGGCGTAACCAGTGTTAAACTCATTTTATAGATGAGAAAAAACGTTCAGTGAGGTCAAGGAACTTGCCCAAGATCTAGAACTAGCTATTGCAGAGCTGGGCCAGGAAGTCCAGTTGTCTGTTACAATGCATACAGCGCTCACCAAGCTTCCCTCTCACGCTACCTAATTTTGGTTACCTTTGCCTAGGGGGCACGTCCAGTTTCCAAAACCTTTGGCGAATGGTTACGGCAGGCTTCCCTCTGCCCAGGTTCTTTGTGGTTGCTGCCTCTCCCCTTTCCAGGTTAGAAGCTCGTGGACAGGAGCAACCTAGGTGTCGCCCAGGAATCAGCCTAACTGCCTGGGTTCCTTCCCCACTTATTCCCATCCCCTCCG